TGAGATGTTTATCTTGTATTTGATTATGTTTATATGCAGGTAGTTACACGAATTCAGATATGGAGCTTTAATAAGTTGTACTTACGCACAATCTACTTGCAATCTTGAGTTTTAAATAATATGCATTAATAAACAGTACTTTACACATAAAAAATGGTTTTTAAGAGTTTTTGTCAAATGCTTTATAATATAATATAGATAATAATTAGTATTTTGTTAGAATTCAATGATTATCTTATATATATTTTAGATTTTTTAGATTTAATGAGATACCTATCCAGTATTTGATTATGTTTATCTACAGTTAATTACATGAATTCAACATAGAGCTTTAATAAGTTGAACATACACACAATTTACTTGTAATCTTGAAATTTAAGTAATATGCATCAATAAATAATACTTAATGCATAAAAAATGAGTTTTGATAGTTTTTGTCAGATGTTTTATAATATAGTATAGGTATAGATTATTATAAACAAATTCTATAAATCAGATAAAATACCGACTGCCCACGAAACTTCTAAATCCAATTTTTATAGGATTTTAATAAAATTATGAAATTTTAAATTCAAACAATTTTTCAGACCCAACAGATTGAAATGAAACTAATGTAAGGTAAACACAAACAATTAGAATATTGGAAATCTGCTGCTCTTATTGAAACGAAGCAATTGGTGGCTTTATATAGCCTTACAACTAATAAGAAAAGAGAAAATCAACCCACTAAGCAGATACTTCGCTTGACAAATTCAAAATAAAAATCCTAATAACTCAAAACGATAAACCCGGAAGAACAGGTCTTTATTCCAACAATTCCCTCCCTTAAACTCATTCTTCTTAACAAGCAATTAGTTCATATTTGGTGCAGCACACCCCCCCCCCCCATCTCTTCACGAAGTCTCTGAAAACTTTCCAACTTGAGAGGCTTAGTCATCAGATCAGCAAGTTGATCCCGAGTACCACAGAACAACAACTGAACAATTCTTTCTTTAGTGAGCTCTCGAAGAAAATGATGCCTCACTCTTATATGCTTAGTACGTCCATGAAAAACTGAATTCTTGGACAATTTATATTCGATGTGTTGTCACACATTAATGTTGTGCCACCCTCTTGTGATTGACCAATTTCTTCCAGAATCTTTCTCATCCAAACAGCTTCACATGCACAAGCTACAGCTGCTACAAATTCAGCCTCTGAGGTCGATAAGGTTACTATGGGTTACTTTCTAGACGACCAAGCCACAACTCCTTCACACATCATAAACACATAACTATTAGTAAATATGTAAATTATTATATAAATCATGTATTTTAGGATAGTTTGTTAGTCATTGATGGTAGAGATTATCTCCTTGTATTTATGTATTCTCTCTCCCTATATTAAGGGTTGATGATGTATAATGAAAGGTATTGATAATTTACCATAAACACTTTTATGGTATCAGACCTATCTCTGAGAAACCATTGAAACCCTCGCCGTCGTCTTCCTCGTTTCCGTTGTCTCTCCTTCTCCAGCAAGAAGAAACCCGATTGAGCCATGCCTCCATCATCCAACAGAACCACACCCAAAACAACAAACCTCCATCCCATCTACACTGTCACGAACATCCAGAATAAAGTTCGGATACTAGATTGGACCACGGTTACGTATTCGTCATGGGTAAAGCTTTTCAAGCTTCATGCTAGAGGTTACAAGGTACTTAATCACATTGACGGTACGCCGCCACCGAACAGCGCCGACGCAACCTACGAAACATGGGCTGAGATCGATGCGATCGTGTTGCAATGGATCTATGGTACGTTGTCTAACGATCTCCTTGTTCGTGTACTTGCTTCAGATGCTACTACCTACGATGCTTGGACTAAGATTCACGACATTTTCCTCAACAACAAGGGCTCCCGAGCCGCCGCCCTCGAACACGAATTCACAAACCTGACTCTGACCGCTTGCTCTTCTATGGACGAGTATTGCCAGAAAATTAAAGGTCTCGCAGAACAACTCACGGATGTGGATAATCCGGTTAATGAAAAGCGAATGGTTCTTCAGTTGGTTCGTAGTCTTCCTGCAGACTTCGACATGGTCGCCTCTTTTATTAACCAAAGCTCTCCTTCTTGGGACATGATGTAGCATGCTTCAACTGGAACAACAGCGTCAATCAGCTCGCCAAAATTCAACCCAAACAGCTATGGTGGCTCCCTCTGCTCCCAAGGGTTCGCATGCCGCCACCATTGCGCCGCCGCCACCCTCTGTCGATCAGCGATCATATGGCAGGGGTCGTGGTCGTGGCCGGCCTTATGCCCGTGGGGGACGATCGTCTAACCCGGGTCGTGGTCGCTCTTTTGCTCTGGCTCCACCGCCTACCACCTACCCATCGTGGGCCTGGTGGGCCCTATCGCCCTGTCCGTATCCAACACAGCCAAATGCATGGCCTAATTTCTTCTGGACCGGTAGTCCTTCTCCGCAGGCACCATCGGCCCAATCTGTTGCGGCCCATATTGCCTATCAAAAAATAGGATCGTCTTATGTGCAGTCCGATTCGGTGGCCCAATCATCCGACACTCAGCCTACGCATGATTTTGATGCTCTAAATCCGACTGATCTTGGAACCGCTTTTCACAGTATGCATCTCAATTATCAAGATCCTTCGTGGTACATGGATACAGGGGCATCTTCTCACATGACTGCAGATGCAGGTAAAATTCAATTCCCTTTATCATCTTCTAATATACGTATTGTGTTCGTTGGTAATGGCACTAGTATACCTATTAAAGGATCCGGAAATGCCATACACGTAACTCCTCATAGCACCTTCCATCTTTGCAACATCCTGTACACACCAAATATCATTAAAAATCTCTTATATGTTCGCCAATTTACTCGTGATAATAATGTGTCTGTTGAATTTGATTCTTACGGCTTTTTTGTGAAGGATCTCAAGACCGGGACGATTCTTTCGTGCCACAATAGTCCGGGTGATCTATACCCCTTCACCGCACCCAACTCCTCATCATCGGTTCACCTAGCCACCTCCATCGCCGATCAATGGCACAACCGACTCGGACACCCTGGCGCTACCGTTTTAGATCTTCTTCGTACTCGTTTATTTATTTCTTGTAATAAAGTCAACCCGTGTACGGTGTGCCACTCATGTCAATTGTCGAAAAGCAAAAGATTACCATTCTATGATTCAATTACTACTACTTTTGCACCATTTGATATCATTCACTGTGATTTRTGGAYCTCTCCTGTTAGTAGTACTTCYGGTTACAAATATTATATGRTACTTCTTGATAACTTTACACAATATRTCTGGATTTACCCCCTTAAATATAAATCTGAAACTTTCRTCAACTTCACCAAATTCCATAGACTTATCCTCACTCAGTTTAACCGTAAAATAAAATCGTTCCAATGCGACTTGGGGGGGGGGAATTTGATAACAATGAATTCAAAACATTTGCTTCAACCAATGGTCTTGTGTTCCGCTTCTCGTGTCCCCAAACCTCACCTCAAAACGGTAAATCGAAATGCATGATACGTTGTCTTAACGACATTGTTCGTGCTCTTCTTACTCATGCTCACCTTCCCCCAAAATTCTGGGTCGAGGCCCTTCATACCGCCGCTTACCTTCACATCATTCTACCAACTAAATGCCTAAACTCTATTACCCCTACCTTTGCCCTATACCTTCAACACCCAACATAGGACCATCTACGGGTCTTCGGGTGTGCTTGTTACCCAAACACCTCTGCGACTCAACCCCACAAACTCCACCCCTGTTCTCTCTGCTGCATCTTTTTCGGGTATCCTACCAATTTTCGGGGTCACCGCTGTGTTGACCCAACGACAGGAAAAGTCCTTCTATCTAGACACGTCATCTTTGATGTAAACTCATTCCCGTACACCAACACTTCACCATCAAACTCCTACACTTTCCTTGACGATCACCCTATTCTGTCACCTTTCTTCACCTCTTCCTCACCATAAGACACACCACCACCCTCGCCTCCCTCGCCACCACATCTGCCCCAAATGCCACCATCCCCACCATCACCCACCATCCCGCCCATAACCAACACCCACACTATGACTACCCGTGCCAAGCATGACATCTTCAAACCACGCCAACCCCTAAACCTTCATACCTCCACCCATCCTCCCATCTCTCCTATCCCATCCACCTACGCTAAGGCTACCCAGGATCCAAATTGGTTAAGTGCTATGAACAATGAATATAATGCGCTATTAGACAATGATACTTGGGAGCTTGTACCTCGTCCCACTGACCGCCCAGTTATACGCTGTATGTGGTTATTTCGCCATAAATATCGTGCGGATGGGACTTTTCAACAATACAAAGCTCGCTTGGTGGTTAATGGGAAATCTCAAACGGTTGGGATTGATTGTGACGACACATTTAGTCCAGTGGTCAAACCAGCTACTATTCGAACGGTCCTAAGCCTTGCCATCTCTCGTTCTTGGCCAATACACCAACTAGATGTGAAAAATGCGTTTCTACATGGTGATCTTCAAGAAACGGTTTTTATGCACCAACCACCAGGCTTGGTTGATAAAAATACCCCACATCACGTCTGTCGTCTTCGTAAATTGCTATACGGCCTTAAGCAAGCCCCACGGTGCGTGATATAATCGATTCGCAACTTATATCACCAACAATGGGTTTCGAAGCAGTGCTTGTGACAACTCCTTATTCATTTATCGGCAAGGCACTCATACTGCTTATCTTCTRTTGTATGYCGACGATATCATTCTTACAGCCTYGGACTCCAACCTATTGAATTCCATCATTAAGACCCTWTCGCGGGAATTTGCTATGACGGATCTYGGGACRTTACATCATTTTTTGGGAATTTCGGTTCAGCGCGACAAACACGACTTGTTTTTATCTCAAACTCAGTATGCACAAGACATTCTTATACGGGCGTCTATGACTAATTGCAATCCRTGCAATACACCYGTGGACACCACYTCCAAGCTTAGTGCTACTGTAGGCAACCTATTACCCGATGGTACTTTATATCGCAGCTTGGCTGGTGCACTTCAGTATCTTACGTTTACCAGGCCCGACATCTCTTATGCGGTACAACAAATTTGTTTGTTTATGCATGCACCACGGGATTCGCATTTTAACTTCATGAAACACATACTTCGATATATTAAAGGAACACTCGACTTCGGCATACGCATCATTGCATCACCTAGTCACACTCTTACAGCCTACTCGGATTCAAATTGGGGTGGTTGCCCTGATTCGCGACGATCCACTTCCGGTTATTGCGTTTATCTTGGTGACAATTTAGTATCTTGGTCATCCAAAAGACAACCCACCATATCTCGTTCCAGTGCCGAAGCCGAATACAGAGGGGTCACAAATGTCGTGGTTGAGGCAAGTTGGATGCGCAATTTACTTCTTGAGCTTCACGTCCCATTACGCAAGGCAACTGTGGTTTATTGTGACAATGTTTCAGCAGTTTATCTGTTAGGTAACCCGGTTCAATATCAGTGAACCAAGGATGTTGAAATTGATATTCATTTTGTGCGGGAAAAAGTAAAAATTGGTCACATTCGTGTTCTTCACGTACCTGCCACTTACCAATATGCCGACATTTTTACAAAGGGTCTACCTCGACAGCTATTCGAAAACCTCTGTACCAGTTTGAGCGTCTGCTCTCCTCCCGCTCCAACTGCGGGGGACTATTAGTAAATATGTAAATTATTATGTAAATCATGTATTTTAGGATAGTTTGTTAGTCATTGATGGTAGAGATTATCTCCTTGTATTTCTGTATTCTCTCTCCCTATATTAAGGGTTGATGTATAATGAAAGGTATTGATAATTTACCATAAACACTTTTAATAACCAGAAGTGCTCTTGCTATCCTCCATGTCTCCAACATAGTCACTATCTGTAAAGTCCATTAACTCGTCAGTTTCTCCTCTTTTATAGAAAATCCCATAATTTACAGTCCCCTTTAAATATCTCAAAGCCCTCTTTGCTACAACAAAATGTAGTTGAGTAGAATTTGCCATAAAACGACTGATAAGACTTACAGAAAACATAAGGTCAGGTCTCGTAGTAGTGAGACACATAAGACTACACACCATCTGCTTAGATCGAGTTGCATCCACCTTAATGCCATTTTTGTCACTACTAATCTTTAGCCCCAGAGCAATTGGATTGCGTACCAAGTTACTTTCTGCCATCCCAAATCGACATAGAACCTCAGCTACATATTTTCTTTGACATATGAATATGCCATCTGACCTTTGTAATACCTCAATCCCAAGAAAGAATCTCATTTCACCCAAATTTGTCATGTCAAACTCCCTTTTCATTGAAGACTTGAACTCGCACAACATTTCTTTATCATTGTTAGTAAACAATAAATCATCAACATAAATGTTAACAATAAGAGTTTTACCTTCTTTTCTTTTTATAAACAGAGTTTGCTCACTATGATTGCTTGTGAAACCTTCCTTGAGAAAATAAGACTCTATCCGACTAAACCAAGCTCTCGGTGCTTGCTTTAGCTCGTAGAGGGCCTTATTCAACTTGTACACCAAGTGCTCGCTCCCTTTCTTCTCATAACCTCTTGGTTGTTCTATGAATACTACTTCTTCTAGTTCCCCATGTAGAAATGCAGATATCACATCTAATTGATAGAGTTTCCAACCATTTGCAGCTGCAAAGGCAAAATCATTCTTACTATATCCATCCTAGCCACAGGTGCAAATACTTCCGCGTAGTCAATTATTGGTTGCTGAGAATACCCTTTCACCACCAACCTTGCTTTATATTTATCAACCTCACCTGACTCATTTGGTTTGGTTTTGTAAATCCATTTTACTTATATTTTTTTAGCACCAGCAGGTAGTTCCACTAATTGCAAGTCTGATTTCTTTCAGTGGATTTTTATCTCTTCATCCATTGCCCGCCTCCATTTTGAGCTCTTAACTGCTTCTTCATAACTTGTCGGATCAGATGAAACCATAAACACCATGTTTGATTATTATTCTTCTTTCGACATTCCTTCTTCCGTAACATAATCACTTACGGGAGGACGTCGATTTCTGCCCTCCCTCAGTGTCAAACTTCCTTGAATCGT